TGACGGTGTAGTACTCGTGGTCGTAGTAGTACTGGTAGTAGTGGTGGTCGTAGTAGTACTGGTAGTACTCGTGGTCGTAGTAGTACTGGTAGTAGTGGTGGTCGTAGTAGTACTGGTAGTACTCGTGGTCGTAGTAGTACTGGTAGTACTCGTGGTCGTAGTAGTACTGGTAGTACTGGTGGTCGTAGTAGTACTCGTGGTCGTAGTAGTACTGGTAGTACTCGTGGTCGTAGTAGTACTGGTAGTACTCGTGGTCGTAGTAGTACTGGTAGTACGCGTGGTCGTTGTAGTACTGGTAGTACTCGTGGTCATAGTAGTACTCGTGGTCGTTGTAGTACTGGTAGTACGCGTGGTCGTAGTAGTACTCGTAGTACTCGTGGTCGTAGTAGTTGTAGTAGTAGTTGTGGTCGTCGTCGTTGTAGTAGTAGTTGTGGTCGTCGTCGTTGTAGTAGTTGTTGTAGTAGTAGTTGTGGTCGTCGTTGTAGTAGTAGTTGTGGTCGTCGTTGTAGTAGTAGTTGTGGTCGTCGTTGTTGTAGTAGTAGTTGTGGTCGTCGTTGTTGTAGTAGTAGTTGTGGTCGTCGTTGTTGTAGTAGTAGTTGTGGTCGTCGTTGTTGTAGTAGTAGTTGTGGTCGTCGTCGTTGTAGTAGTAGTTGTAGTAGTAGTTGTGGTCGTCGTCGTTGTAGTAGTAGTTGTGGTCGTCGTTGTTGTAGTAGTAGTTGTGGTCGTCGTTGTTGTAGTAGTAGTTGTGGTCGTCGTTGTTGTAGTAGTAGTTGTAGTAGTAGTTGTGGTCGTCGTCGTTGTTGTAGTAGTAGTTGTGGTCGTCGTTGTTGTAGTAGTAGTTGTGGTCGTCGTTGTTGTAGTAGTAGTTGTGGTCGTCGTTGTTGTAGTAGTAGTTGTGGTCGTCGTTGTTGTAGTAGTAGTTGTAGTAGTAGTTGTGGTCGTCGTTGTTGTAGTAGTAGTTGTGGTCGTCGTTGTTGTAGTAGTAGTTGTAGTAGTAGTTGTGGTCGTCGTTGTTGTAGTAGTAGTTGTGGTCGTCGTTGTTGTAGTAGTTGTGGTCGTCGTTGTTGTAGTAGTTGTGGTCGTCGTTGTTGTAGTAGTAGTTGTAGTAGTAGTTGTTGTAGTAGTAGTTGTAGTAGTAGTTGTGGTCGTCGTTGTTGTAGTAGTAGTTGTAGTAGTAGTTGTGGTCGTCGTTGTTGTAGTAGTAGTTGTGGTCGTCGTTGTTGTAGTAGTAGTTGTGGTCGTCGTTGTTGTAGTAGTAGTTGTAGTAGTAGTTGTGGTCGTCGTTGTAGTAGTAGTTGTGGTCGTCGTTGTTGTAGTAGTAGTTGTGGTCGTCGTTGTTGTAGTAGTAGTTGTGGTCGTCGTCGTTGTAGTAGTAGTTGTGGTCGTCGTTGTTGTAGTAGTAGTAGTTGTAGTAGTAGTTGTGGTCGTCGTTGTTGTAGTAGTAGTTGTGGTCGTCGTTGTTGTTGTAGTAGTTGTGGTCGTCGTCGTTGTAGTAGTAGTTGTGGTCGTCGTTGTTGTAGTAGTAGTTGTAGTAGTAGTTGTGGTCGTCGTAGTTGTAGTAGTAGTTGTGGTCGTCGTTGTTGTAGTAGTAGTTGTGGTCGTCGTTGTTGTAGTAGTAGTTGTAGTAGTAGTTGTGGTCGTCGTTGTTGTAGTAGTTGTGGTCGTCGTTGTTGTAGTAGTAGTTGTAGTAGTAGTTGTGGTCGTCGTTGTTGTAGTAGTAGTTGTAGTAGTAGTTGTGGTCGTCGTTGTTGTAGTAGTAGTTGTGGTCGTCGTTGTTGTAGTAGTAG